GCTTGAACCCACAAACTGTGAGATCATGACCTGAGTCGAAGTTGGACGCCTAACCGACTGAGCCACCCACGCCCTCCTGTAACAGCCATTTAAATGACCATTCTGCCTCCCTCTGCTCCCCAATCTGTCCTTGTGCACATCACTTCCCGCTGAAAAACCTGAGTTCAGGCACCTGAACCCAATCACCATCTCCCAAGTGGAGGGACGTCTGAACCCCGGCTCGATGCATCTGCTGTAGGGCCCTGCACAGCACGGACCTTTCCCGATCCTCCTTTTTCTCAAATGCAGCCTAGGGGTAGTAGCACCTGCTTCACAGGGCGGTTGTGCAATCCAATGGGACTAACACATGTCACAAGGGCAGACCCTGTGCCTGGCACGTCATCGGCCTTAAGACACAGGATGTGCTTCCCTCTCTCCCCGCCTTCCACACCAAACCTCCAGTCTGTACTCTGCCCTGTAAGTTTCATCCCTGCCATCGATCCCCCCTTATTTGCCTTTTCCTCACCTTCCCTGAAGGCCCAGGCTGAAGGCCGTCTCCATCACCCCCCTGGGTACTTACTGCTAACTAGCCATCTGGCAACAAGAGCCAGGCTGTTCTATGGTCACCTGTGTCATAGTCTAGCACTGTTTGACTCTCCATACTTGATCATCCTATTTAGATCTTGTCAACCCAAGAGAAGTCTCAGTTCCTGCTCAATAAATGTCTGAGACTAGAGACCATTATCACCTAAATGCTTCAGATGCATACCTTTGTTCATTCATCTGTTCACTCAACAAACACTACTGGGTGCCAGGCGGTTCTAGACCTGTCTCCCCATGCAGTCTGAGAGTCCTTGTGGGCAGGGGGGCACATGGTCTCTTCCTTGGAGCCCTGGAGTCTCCAGCCCAGCTGCAAGCTTGGTTGAAAAGGGAACACCTATATATAACCTTGGGGCTGACCCTGGGCTGTGTTTTGCCAGTGTGGCCAGCAGGGGGCAGCATGCCCCCATAGCAGGGTTGTGGTCAGGATGCAGGCTAGGAGTGCCGAGCAGAGCAGGAGGAGAAGGTTGGGCTGTGGTGTTCCAGCCTGTCCCCTCCACCTGACTTGCACTGTTTGGGTCAAAGGAACAGAATGCATGGGGTGCCTCCCCAGGCAGAGCCTTGCTCCTGTTCCCACTTTCTGCAGGGGCTCTCCCACCTCATCTCTCATGGTCTCAAGTAAGGATGAGAATAGGAAGGAAGGGAATGAGGAGGGTGCAGCCAATGCCCAGAGCCTCAGGCAGTGACAAAAGAACCAAGTCAAGCTGCTTCTCCAGCGACCCCACTACTTGTCCTCCCTGGACCCCCAGTGCAGTCCCACGAGTCTCCTGAAGCCGGTGGGAGAAACACAAGCGTGCTCTCGTTAAACTGGAGAGAAGAAAGTCTGGCAAAGCTTGAGATGCAGAGGCTGACCTTGGAGAGGTCCTGTGGTGCCTCCCCGGGGCTCATTTCTCCCCGAGTGTCTTCAGTGCCTCCCTCATGACAGGGAGGCAGGAGTTAAGAGGGTAGCCCGTGCAACTCTCTCCAAGATGGTTTGCTGATATCAAGCGTTCGCCCCAGGAAAACGTCCATGTCACCAAACTGGGAGGTCGTGCAGCAATAAGCCTGGACTCCCCGGGTGTTGCCACGGCTCATTGGTGTTCTAGGATGGCGGCAGGGACCATTTCCTCACAACCTGTCCTTAACATTCTTCTTATACCAGCAGGTAGGAGAGGGAGGGGCAGAGAGAACACACAAACCGCGGGGACAAGGGAGCAGAAGCGGGGCCTGGAAGCAGAAGTGGCAGCCATCCTGGGGTGGTTGGGAGGGACACATCGCTGCTGGAGGACGGTCCCCAGTGGAGTGTGGGAACAGGAAGGCCAGGGAAATGCCAAGCGGCCGGCAGCCAGATTCCACTGAGTTCAGAATTCACCGTCAAAAATAGGGCGAGGCATCACGGAGGGAGAACTGGGCTGGCGGCTACTGGGGGTGGGCCAGGCGGATGTCTCTGCTCTCATCTGAGGCCTGCAAAGTCCCCCTCGTTGGGCTCAACAGGTTGCCCCCGACCCCACCATGGGTCAGTTCCATGGATCAGCCAGCAGGGGGCCCCCCAGCATCTTCCTTCCACAGGACCTGGGACGTGGCAGGAGCGGCTTAGAACCCAGGAACTTCTGGGCAGGAAAGAGCCTTAGTTTATAAACTGCAGCCCTGCAGCCTGTGGTCCAGGGGTCTTTGGGCTCCCATTCAGTGTTTTTCTCTGTAGTCAAAAGGGGCTGAAGGCTTGCGCTCTGAGGGAAGGCAGGGTGATCAGAAGAGACACGTGGACAGATGGCATCCCTTCACCCTGATCTCCTTCTCCTGTTGGGGGCCAGGGCTGCATGCACAGACCCAGCAGGCAGGCCTCAGACGATGCCCCAAGCTGTTCTGGGTGGTTAGGACGCGCCCCTGAGAGCAAATGTCACACGCTGGAGTCTGGGAGGTGGGGACGGAGGCCTGTGGGCCGCCGTGGCCTTGGGCTCTGCTCGTTAATCTGGGTACCTGCCCTGGTCATAACCCGTCCCCTCCTTCTGCTCCAGCGTGTGATGTTTGCTCTCAGGCATGAGATCACTCAGCCCTGCTCGGAAGGTGGCAGGGGAGGGGGTTTGAAGTCAGCAACTTCCTGGCAAGTGCTCTAAAAGGGGGGGCTCAGGACTGGCCAGGATCACCTTCCAGAACAGCAAGCCAAGCCCTTGGAGATGGGGCCTTGATTCCAGTCCTGGCATCTGCTGAGCATTTGGAGCCCAGTGCCAAATGCACTGGGGACCCACAACTCTGGAGGTCTTGAGGGGGCGGGGTCTGTGATAGACAGCTGCACAGCCGGCTGGGGGC